TCTTAAACATGCTGAGAAGAGTTGGATATTTCTGAATCTCTCTTTCTGCCAGAGGGGAGGTGCAGTGAAAGGCAATGCCGGCAGTGACTGTGTTTTTCTGTTTAGCGGTAACCTTGGTTTGAAAGTGCAAGCCCATAATGCAGTGCACTGGAGCCCTTCTTTCTCTGAACTGCAGAACCGAACACCTCCTTGGCAAGTGCCTGCTCTCTCCTCAAGGCAAGGGGTTGCACACTTCATCCTGCGAAAGGCCCTAGAGTCACTTGCACCTCTGGCGTATGATCTAGTAGCACTGGATGCTTCTAGTGTGTGCCGAGCTGGCAGAAGGGACAGCAGGCCTCTCTCTGCACCCAAGGGCTTGGTAACCATTACTTGAAGGAGAAGCAGTGAGAGGTCTAGAGTCTGTGAGCCTAGAAGCTGCAACTTGGGAATCTCAATGGCTGGCTCTGCTACACGAGGGCATGCAGAGACCCAGGAGAAAACAAAGCAGCAGAGGAAAGGGGAAGGGTTTCTGTACCAGGACTAAGTGGCAGCGGAAACTCCCCACCCCCTGGCTGAAGGCAGGGCTCACAGCCCATGCTAAGACTTTCATTTCTCTGTTGTGATGTGTTGCTCAGGAAGGACTCGGCCAGCAGCTGCTCTGTCAGCTGAAGCCAGGGTCAGGGCTGACTTCTCAGCTGGCATGAACTGGCTTCACACTGAAGGCAACAGAGCAGCATCTCCCTCTGCTGCTGCCTGAGGGGCTGGTTCTGACTCCTGAGACTGCTGCCAAGACTGGAGACTTTATCCATGTACCCCCACTCTGCCCTGAAGCTGCCCTGGGGCTCACCCCACTGCTGTTCATGAGCTCTGTACCTCCAGCCTGCTTGAGAGCAGTGGGAAGTGGTCCCCACAGGCAGCTCCACCACCTTGTATTTGGGCTGGGTGTGTGCAGCCAAGTGTGCTGCTTGGTGGAAGCAATCAAGCCATGGGCTTACTGTCTAGCAAGTGCAAGGTGAATTCTGCTGTGACTTATGACCCCAGGGAAGTGCAAAAGCATCCATCTCTTCCATGGCTGTATGGTTTGGAACATGAATCAAGTCGTGGCTAGATACAAGGATACACGCTCCAAGGAACTGGAGCAAATGGCAGCAGA